ATGAATTTCATGTTTTAGCCATTCCCCATGGACACTCTTTCCCCCTGCATGGACAAACCTTATGAAATCTTGCCTTTCATGAACTTTAGGTATATGAAATATGTTTCCTGATTTCTTTGTGGCAGAAGCCTCCCCCCCCCCTTCCTGACCTTTATTCCCCCGCTTCCTGAAGAAACCCCACCAAAGGAACTACAGAGCCCCAAACATTCCAGGAACTTTTTAATCCACAGCTTCCTTTTGCATGAACAATAGTTTGGACAGCTGATGGCCCTCGGAGGATTTGCCCAGCCCTCAGCTTGCCCCTTTGGCAAAGATCTTAATCATATTTCCGTCTGAAGGACAAAAGGTCCTTGAAAAACCTTTTGCCTTCACTCTGATTAACTCAGCTATCTCCACCAAGAAACGATCACCCCAGTTTCGCCTTCATTGTCTCCATATCTGCTGGCTAGTAAAATCCGGACTTTTCTTTACACATGTTGATTCATTCCAATCAAAGCACAATAGATCGGGCTTGCTTGAGACTGCCCTTTTGTCTCGCAGGCCACATGGCATTTTTTCAGACTTCATTAATAGATCCCTTTGTGTTCTATAATCCCGCCTCCCTCTCTCCTGATTTGCTGTCGTCGCTAGGCGGCAGGAGCCTCCCCATTGGATCCTATGGACTGCTGGAGCTTCCTGATTGGTCCAGAGTCGCCGGGGGCAGGAGGGCCGCCTCCCAGCTGTTTGCCCATTGTCCAATCACAGTGGAGGGCAGCAGGGAGGCCGGGGCGGGAAGTTTGAACTCTGCGACTTTGAATTTACTATAAATATGGCTGTTTTGGTGTAACATTTCATGCTCTGCTTGGCGAATGATTGCTGCTCTGCATCCTTTTCAGCTGAATCGCTAATAAACCTCGATGGCTTTTCTTCAACTTGGTGAGACCTTTAATTGGGAAAAATCAGGGAAAATTCTGGGCCTTTCTCCTCTTTCGCTTGCCAAGGGTTTCGGACTCTCTTTGGTGGGTCTAAGGGCTCCTCTCTCCTGGGCAGGAGCCTCCAAATTCTAGCTCGATATCATCTCCAGGTAATGTACACAGTATTTATTTACTGAAATATTTGTATTCCACCCTGTAGCCAAGAATCTCTTTTTGTATTGGAGGGCTTTATAAAATATTCAAAATATACCAAGTTAATCCTGGAACATGGAACAGGAAAATCCCCAAAAAGCCTCTTTCCACACCTAGCAGTCAAAATACATTAAATAACCCCACCCCCCAAAGGGAGGATATCTTGCTGTTCTTTCATGACAACCCAAATCTGCCACATGAGGCATCTTATTCATTTTGAATATGGCTGCTCTTCAATTAAGAAGAAGTGGAACCTGAGGTTGCCAGGTTTACATGCCTTGAAATAGCATCACAGAAATGGTTATTTAGTAGGGCTGGGCGGTTTCATTTCGTTAATTCGTAATTCGTTAATAATTCGTTAATTTTTTCAATTACAAAACGATAACAAACCATTCTGGAGCAATTATTTAAAAAAACGAATTTTCAAAAACGTTTTGTAAATGCTTCGTATTTCGTTATTGTATTCGTTTCGTTATTGTTGTGAGGTCGTTTCGTTATTATTTCCGCATGTCTGGGGCAAGTTTTATGGTTTAATTAGTGAAAAAAAATTATAATATCACACCAACAGTCAACAACAGAGGGAGAGGGAAGCTTCAGAAGGTTTTGGAGGTTTTTTAGCGTATTTCGCGGTCGCGTCCGCCATTAACGAATCGATTCGTTATTGTTTCGGAAATCGATTCATTAATTTTTTACCATTTACAAAATTTCGTAAATATCGAACTTTTTAAAAGGAAAATTTTGTAATTATTTTAAATATCGAAACAAAAAAAACCCCCAAATACAAATCGATTTTAGAAACAAATTTTTCCGTTGTTACCCAGGCCTATTATTTAGCACATTATTGAGAAGGATTTCTGGGATTTTCTGTTTCAGGTGCCAAAATAGCTTGGGTACTAAATATCTTAAGGGGTAAAGGAAATTTCTCTTTCACTGTAAGCTACTTTCTCTGTTGCTTGTTTTCATGCCAAAATAGCTTGGGTACTAAATATCTTAAGGGGTAAAGGAAATTTCTCTTTCACTGTAAGCTACTTTCTCTGTTGCTTGTTTTCATTGCTCTTATCCACACCCTTTCTAGTTCCACAACACCCTTTTCAGGTGCAATGAACGGAAGAGTAGATACACAGTTATCACCATTTGATTACTTTTGAATTGCCTGGGTTTATTTATTTATCATATTTATATAGATTATATGGGTTGTATCCTACACAGTCCTGGATGTTGTAGTTAGGTTAGGTGTTTGATTGCAAACATGCAAACAAGGAATGGAAACACAGCCGTTAGAGTGGCATCAGAGCTATAACTGCATAATAAGAAAAGGGCCCAGATCTTAGGATTTCATAGCGTGGAGCAATAGTCTATAAAGTCACACTGAAGTGCTATAACTGACTTATCAACACTCTATAACTGGGAATTCACCTCAAAACTATGCACAAATACATCCACAGTATGAATTTGTGTAAAAACAGTATAATGTAGGAAGTTTTATTCCTCTATTGTTTCCAGTCTGATTACTTTCTTTCTTTCTTTCTTTCTTTCTTTCTTTCTTTCTTTCTTTCGAAGAAATACTCCTCCTGCACAAGCTGTTACAAAGGTGTGGTGGTGTGTGCTAACAATTTGTATAAAATATGATGGAGATGTGTGGAAAAACAAAAAAGTTGAAAGGAGGATGAAAAAATGGGGTGATGGAATGAGATAAAAAATCCCCCCCCCCCCCCATAAACATTTTTTTCATTTTATGAACAATAACTCCCTTAATCTCCCTTAATTGGGTACTGGCATTTTTTCAAAAATCTAGCAAATTCAGATCCATACATACATAAAGAGAGAACTATGAATTTCTCCACCCATCACATTACACATGTTCACATTGTGTTATTTTAATGTTCATTCCACTAGTTTGGAGAGATTCTTTGGAATCTCTTCAACATCCATATTTGTTCCCACTATGTAATTTACTAAGTAATTTTGTGCCATATTGCTAATATTTATTTATTATTTATTTACAGTATTTGTATTCTGCCCTTCTCACACTGAAGAGGACTCAGGGCAGATCACAATGTATATATACACGGCAAACATTCAATGCCATTTTTGACATACAAGACATACAAACAGACAGAGGCCATTCAGCAGTTCTTCCATTTCGGATCCTGGAGGTTGATCGATTTGGCCACAAGGGGAGCTGTTGCTTCATCCACTATGATGTCAAGCCTTTTCAACTGTAGTATTTCTTCCTTGCTCTCCGACATTTTTATGGTGTCATAAATTAGCCTCCCCACTTTAAGCGGTCCCTAATTCCTCTGCTCACAGCTCTTTTCGAACTGCTTAGGTGGACAGTGAACTGGGCATTTTTTAACAGCTATTTTTTTAACAGCTATTAACAGTCGGCACTCAACCTCGACCTTAATCAATAAGATAAGAAAGTTAAAAAGCCATGTCCCCAGTAACTTCGAGGGACCCCTTTGCCCATGTTCCTCATTTATAAGAATCGGTCATGCATACACATGCACAGAGGTGTGTTTTGTGCATACATAGCTATAAATTATTTGATCCCACGGAAACTCTCTAAACTTTGCCTAGAAGAATGGTTAGGTCTACAGTGATCTAACCTCCAGGCATTTCGATGTTTCCAACTAAAATACCAGCTAGGTTTTTCATCTTCCCATCTAGTCTCCTTAGGACATTCAGCCCAGGAAACATTCAGAGTTCTCAATATCAGTGCATAGACAGATATAGTTTTCTTGGCTGACTTCAAATATTTAAAATGGTTAGCTAAAAATCAAACAATATTTGGCACAAAAACATACCTTAGGATGAACCTCACACAGGACAGAGAATAGCTTTTACCAGAGCGAGATCCAAACAGGACAATTTCAAAAAATACCTTACTATGAAAGAGTATGTATCTGTGGTGCACCAGCCATAGAGAACATTGTGCATATTTTGTTTGATTGTTGTCTATATGTCAAGGTAAGATCCCAATATTTACCACCGTTTTTGGTTAGAACAACCAACTAGGATCCAATTGCCAAACTGTCCTATTTTCGTTCTGGGGAGAATCTACACTTATGACCTCATCACACATAGTTTGGAAGGGTCCTAGCATGCTGCCAGACGCTTCCTCCATGGAGCCTTCTTGATGCCATCAGGCAACATAAGGCAACTTCTGGCAGGACTTTATAAAGGAAGCACTGGGGGAGGGCGGGAAGGAAAATTTGGGTAGTGAAGCTTCTTCCAGTGGGATGAGGCAATGTGGGGCATGGAAGAATTGTTTCCTCTGCTGCCGCATGGATTCAGATGTCAATGTGATGAGGTTCGTAGTCTTCTACATATCCAAATTCATATCCAAATTCATGCCCACCTGAGAGATCTCTTCATCTCACAAGTTCATGACGATGAACTTATCTGAATTCTCTGACTGATTCTTTTACACTCGCCACTCTAAATCCCCTGCTTTCAACTTGTAATCTACTCTCATTTTGCCAAGCCTAATATTTCATCAAGTTTTCTTGTGTTATAATTTATTTTAGTTAACTATCACAAGAGCTTTGGGTTAGTGATTTGTGTTTATTTGTTTGTGTATTCTTGTCTTTTGTCTTTTACTGTTGATATGGTCAGTGGACTAGTCAATAAACCTATCTATCTATAACTTATTTGGAGTCACTGACGTATTTACAAGATTAATCTCTCCTAATCTAATCTAATGACCTAAAAACAGGACAGTAGCTGAATTATTTCCTGTACTAACACAGATCAAGCCCAGTTTCCAGTTCAGAGATGATGATATTTTGCAAATAAAAGGTGGCAAAGTAAAGCGAAAGCCACACCTCTCCAGAGTCAAACTCTATAAAACCTTTATACATTCCATCCAAAAAAAAAAGACTACCTAAGAGAATGCCTGCTAGCATGGCCCCTACACTGCTCTTCTTGATCCTTATGGGAATACTTCATGAGTTCGACTCAGGTAGTGTGCTGAAGATCTTTATATCTCTGTCTTTACAAGATTAAAGACTGCAATGAGGGCAAAGGGGAAACAGAGTAGAAGACGTTTAATTGCTGGGGACAATCTTAAGGCATTAACTCAAGTGACATGAAGTTCAATTATGACAGGTCACTTCACAACTGGGAAAAGCTACTCCATTAGATTACAGCATCCAAAATCCCCAGCTCTAGGCAGAGGTCATACTGAATGAAAGATTCTGGGAACTGTTCTGCTCTAATTTTAGGATTTTTCAGTCATGGAGTGGGGTTGGATGTGTTTTATTTCACTTATTGTGCAAAGTGATAAGGTCAATGACTTGTTGCATTTGGAGACTCTCCAATTCGTTCTGGAGCTCTGCACGGCTCCAAAAAGTCCTTCTGTGAAGTAGATAATATGGATATGTATGTGTTTAAACCATAATAGTTTATTTTTTAAAAGTAAGTACAAATAGCTTAAGGATGCTGAGGTCTTGAAAGGGAATGGCAGGAAAAGCCATTGCTCAGCTTCTACCCAAACTCCTACCATGAAGTTCTATCTTGAGTTGGCTCAGAGATAAATCTCACTGTGTTGAGATTTAAGTGTGTTTTAGACAGCAGTTTAATTCATCTTCCAACATTCTCCCATATATGGATTCATGCATACTGAAAACCCTCCAGGTGGAAAGCAGGTGAAGATACAAATGGATTATTTTGTGTCACTGAAATTAAAAGCACTACCACCACCCTCCAATAATTTGTAGTCTCCCAAGACTTGTAATGAGCCAAAATGTACCTTGCCTCAGAAATCTGCACACTTCAAGGCTTGTTGTACATTTTGCATGCATGAAACATCAACATATTTTTAAAGAAAAAGATTGAGTGAAATAATTATACCATTGACAAAATATGTACAATGTGTACATTTCTGCTAGCAGAAATTTATAGGTATTTCCAAATGAAAGAAAGTGACAAAAATCTTGCAATGAAAAAGAAATAAAATGGGAATGCAGATGGAATTTGGATAGAAACAGCAAAGCTGAAAAGCAGGTTTTTGCACAACCTGCCCACTTATCTCACTCAGAATGGAGTCTCCTAAAAATCCTTTCTTCATAGAAGAAGCCATCACATAGAAGAACTGGTGTTTGATTGTTAGACTGTAACTCTGAAGACCGGAATTCAATCCCTTGCTTAGCTATAGAAACATACTCTCAGCCCCAAAAATCCTGAGATAAATCTTTAGAGTTGACATATACTAATACTAAATCAAGTCAATCCCCACTGGTAGTCTAAAGTGAACAGTTGGAGCTGATGGTTTCCAAGTAGGTGGGACAGTTAATCCATTCCAGGTTTTAATTCAGATTTCAAAAAAAAGTATCCAAACTGGGAAGGCATGCGCTCTAAATACTAGTAAACTTTAGTGGATCAATCTGCCTGGGAAATGTGGATAGAACAGTAGCTTAGCAGTTCAAAAACAATTTTCTCTAGGTTAATGATCCCAAGGAAGCTGCCAGAGCACAAAAGTCTAATTCTGGTAAATATTATATGGCCATGATGTTTACATAGTAAACTTGTAAAACTGCTCACCTACCCTCCTATAAAACCATCTGGTAGTCAGAAGAATGACTCCACCAAATGCTAGTGTTTTTCAGATAGCAGTGTGGGAGTGGCACATGTCCTCTATGGCTCTTTGGTGGTTTGCTTGTTGGTAGGGCAGTGAATCTGCTCTGGATTTTAGTCTGAATATCAAAAGAGCTACCTGAGGGGCTGTGTTCTGACCCCAAATCACATTGGCACATTGAATAACAAACTTTGAGTAAATTCATCCTCTCAATATCATAGGACCCATTAACTGCTACCAAATGTGTACTCAAATACACTCATTGCCTTACTTAGATCAGAGAAGTGCAATAGATAGACAGCAACCACCAGCAACCATCATGTTTTCTGTATTCGTCCAACCGAGCATTTGACAATCCATGACTTATGACCTTGTCACATGATGTGCTACAAGCATCCTAGGATGCTTGCAACTCAGCTGATTGACTGAATCGTACTCCAACCTTCACACGTTGCAGGTTAACTTCTGCTACAGCTCTATCAGTGAACTGAGGCACAAGACTCCTAGGACTCTTGGCCCAGGACACGGGAGGCCTCCTATGTTCCATAATAAATCACTGGGCCAGTGCAGAAGGAAGCCACATGGTAATGCTTCCCCATGTGTGATGGAGAAGCACCACTGCCGGCGAGGCAGGGTGCAGGGTTCGGGATTGCCCCGCTGATTCACCATGGAGGCTGGCAAATCAAGATCATGATGTCCTCAGTTGGTGGAGAGATGGAATGGCTGGCAACTTATACTGTATTATAGTTGTTGATCAAGATAAACTTAATGATAACCTCCCTGTTTGTTTGTTTTTTAAAATTATGATTCTAGCACCATCATCATCAACCACATCATCATCAACCACAGTGGCACCTACAACAACACCAGGTTTGTCTTACTAACACTCTAGTTCACATGAAGGGAATGTAACAGTTCAGTTCAGTCTTCTGCCCCCTCTTTCTTCACTCTGACCCAGAGGAACAGTTGGTGTTGGGAGGAGGGGTCCCCGACTGATGACATATGCAGGAGACAAGGTGGAACTGTGTTCTGCCCCCCTCTCTCTTCACTCTGGCCCAGAGCAGCAGTTGGTGCTGGGAAGAGGGGTCCCTGACTGATGACATATGCAGGAGACAAGATGGAATTCTCCCCTGGCCCTCTCTCTCTTCACTCTGACCCAAAGCAGCAGTTGGTGATAGGGGGAGGGGTCCCTGACTGATGACATATGCAGGAGACAAAGTGGAACTGTCTTCTGCCCCCTCTCTCTTCACTCTGGCCCAGAGCAGCAGTTGGTGCTGGGAGGAGGGGTCCCCGCCTGATGACATGTGCAGGAGTCAAGATGGAACTGTCTTCTGCCCCCTCTCTCTTCACTCTGACCCTGAGCGGCAGTTGGTGCTTAGGGGAGGGATCCCCAACTGATGACATGTGCAGGAGACAAGATGGAACTGTCCCCTCTCTCTCTCTTCACTCAGTTAAGATATACTTCCTCAGCCTTAGAAGAAGGCAAATGCAAACTCCATATGTAGAAATCTTGCCAGGAAAATCCTGTAATGGGTTTGTCTTAGGGTCACCATAAAATGGAAATTGTTTGAAGACATGCAACATGTTAAACAGATAAAGCAATCATTGATCTCAGAAAGAAGTACAAATATTTAAAGACTTGCATCTATCTTGTACAGAAATAGAAATCTGGAAGGAAATACTATGTGAGATTGAAGTATATATCGTTGTTAGAAATACTACATAAAGCCCTTTTTTTGTAAAACATGATGTTTTGGTGCTTAATCATAATGTAATTTGACCTTTAATAGGCTTTTTTTTTAATCCCTCCTTATTATCCAACATTTTCGCTTATCCAGCGTTCTTCTGGCCTGTTTATGTTGGATAACCGAGACTCCACTGTATGTTATTATAGATTGTTGTATGTATAAAAATGGAAGGATACTCCTACTTTGCCACAGAATAATTGGTTAATGAAAGTTAATGTCCTTGCTGAGAAGGACAAGTTAAGTATTTTGATTAGATAAAAATTATTTCGTTGACCCAACAAAGATTGGAATTGTTAATTGGTTTTTTTCATGCATGTGAGATTATTTTTGGAAAAACAAGTAGTGAGATTTGAAGGATAGTAGGCTCAAATAGTAGAGTAGGAGGTCATTTATAGAAGAAAGATTAATATTAAAAACATTTATTGGAACATTGGAAGTCATTATTCTTGTTTTCTCCTCCCATTTTTCAGGTGTGTAGTTTAATTATGAGTTGTCATTTCCAGAGGTGTGAGGGGGGTAAAAATTGTTTTATAATTTTCCTTATATGTGTGTTTTATCCATTAAACGTTGCATTTATTTTTTTAAAAAAAAAATCCAAAAGCCACAAATGAGCAGGATATTTATTGACCAACTAAAGTGCAGAAAATACATTATGTCAGCTTTCTAAGTTTCTCTGGCCTTTTCATCAGGCAAAGAAGATGCCATTGGATAACGATTTTAGTAAGGAGACACTGATGATTATGTTTTTATGGCTCATATATGCTAAATGTTTTAATTTTATTTATAATCTGTTTTAATTGTATTTATAATTGTGGAGGCATCGAATTGTTGCTGACTGTGATTGCCTCTGGACTGATCGCCTCTGGACTGGGTCGCCTCTGGACTGAGAAAGGCGGTATACAAATGTAGTAAATAAATAAATAAGTTTTAAAAAAACAATCAGGAGAAGAAAGGCAAAAGTGAGATAATTGCATTTCAATGAAATCAGCTACAGCTACTTTTTACTGCCCTTTATCCCTAGTCCTCCCATGAGAAAGAAAGGAAGTGGCATCTGCCAGCATTGAAATGATCAATGACTTCTTAACTCACAAGAGCTGAGACAAAATGTGGACCTGTGCTCTAACATTCTCTAATTTAAATGTTGTTTTGCCTTAAATAATTTCCAAAGAAAGTTTGGTCTTCAAAGATGTCACATATTCTATGAAATAATGAGGTTGAACACAGAACCACATGACTCGAGTGTAGTCAAGTGAAAGCCATACTGATCTATTCACTTTTGCTCTTTCGCAGGATTGTCCCTGAGGCTAGCTGACACCTACAACTATTGTGAGGGACGTGTGGAAGTTTATTATGAAGGTGCCTGGGGAACCGTTTGTGGCAACAACTGGGACATCAAAAATGCCCAAGTTGTCTGCAGGCAGCTTGGCTGTGGAGATGCTGTCCAAGTCGTGCCTTGGCCTCGGTTTGGTCAGGGCTCAGGCCGAATCCTCCTAGATGGTGTCCAGTGTGAGGGAGATGAAGCCTTCCTGTGGGACTGCAAGAACCGTGGATGGGGGGTCCATAACTGCACTCATCAACAGGATGCCACTATTCTCTGCCAATGTATGAATTGATTATTTGAAGCACTGTTTTTATCTTGAAATACTTTTCACCAGTGGACAGAGCCAGGTGACCACTAACCAAATGGAGACTTCACTGGTGACCCATGACTTCTATCTCATTGGGCAGCGAATCTCTTCTAGCCCTTGGAATAAACTTAAGCAGAGCTTTTTAAGATTCTGAACCCCTTGCACAAATTTTTCTAGTGCCCTGAATAGCTCCTGAAAAAGATTAAAAATGCATTCACTGCCCAATGATAAGGGATTCACCAGCTGCCATTGAGCGACTTTCTGCAGAAAGCCAGACAAAGTTGCTATGACCACAGATAACATTATGTAACAAAATTTGAAAAAAAATCTATTCCTGGTTTGTTATTCCTGTATGGTACTTGCTTTGAAAGTGGTTGAAGAAACTTCATTGTTGTGGCTGCCACGAACTATGTTGAGTTGGTTGAAATGTGATGAGCTATTCATTGAAAAACTAGCAAAATGTGCTGCAGGAAGTTTAATTAACTTTTTCCATGTTTTTATGATAGAATCAATTAGGAAATGACATTTATGACTCAGGAGCAAACATTGTGTTGCTTAATACTAATTAATAGCATAGGAACTAGTATTCTGGGAATTACGGCCTAAAAGGTAAGGCTCTGCTTACAACAGTAGATATGAACAAACCAGATAAGATATTAATTTGTCCTTTATCTTCATCACATATAATCTTGCAACTACTTGATCATACCCCACACACTTGCTATATATGGGTTTTTCTCTGTGTGTATCAGGAGCGACTTGAGAAACTGCAAGTCGCTTCTGGTGTGAGAGAATTGGACGTCTGCAGAGATATTGCCCAGGGGACGCCCAGATGTTTTAATGTTTTACCATCCATGTGGGAGGCTTCTCTCATGTCCCCACATGGGGAGCTGGAGCTGACAAAGGGAAATAATCCACACACTCTCCGGATTTGAACCTCCGACCTGTCGGTCTTCAGTCCTGCCTGTACAAGGGTTTAACTCATTGTACCACTGGGGGCTCCAATGTGTATGGTGAAATTTTCCTTACCAACTTGGCAGAAGGATTGAGCTACTACCTTCGATAGTCTGATCAAGCATCTTTATAATTTTACTACATGTGGTTCAAGACACATGGAAGATAACTATCTGGATCTTTGCATATAGTGATTCAGTTTACTTTTAGTTCAGGATTAATCATAGAGCCACATGAAAGGCAGAAAACAAGAAAAAAGGAAGTCATTATAGCTAAAGATCACATTGCTGGTTCAGATATTTTCAGTTATCCATGGGCCAGCTCTTAGTACTATGGTACTAATTCCCATGCCATTTTAGTACTTATTTCAGTATATACAAACAAGTAGGAAAGGATTCACAAACATGAAGGGGAGGAGAATCACATGGAAAGTTTTACAGTGCCAGCCAGTCCGCAGGGAAGAAGAGCAGAGTTCCTATGAGAACTCCTCCCATAGTTTGACCTCTTTGGTGGTTGCAGTGGGTCAAATTATTATGAAGAGTGGAAATAACTTTATCTGGCATTGAATAACATTTCCTTCATGTTGTCAGGGAAACTGTTTTTCAGCATGAGCTTTGACCAAAGAATTTGAATATTATCAAAGCTGAATTTGTATGTCTGGCTCCAACAGTTTAGTCTGGGTATTGGGAATTGCTTAACTAACTTTTTTTGCATTTTCCTATGGTGCCAGGAGCCCTCCGTGGCACAGTGGGTTAAACTGCTGAGCTGCTAAACTTGTTGATCAAAAGATCACAGGTTCAAATCCGGGGAGCAGTGTGAGCTTCTGCTGTCAGCCCCAGCTTCTGCTAACCCAGCAGTTCAAAAACATGCCAATGTGAGTAGATCAATAGGTACTACTCTGGCGGAAAGGTAACGGCACTCCATGCAGTCATGCTGGCCACATGACCTTTGAGTTGTCTACGGACAGCGCTGGCTCTTCGGCTTAGAAATGGAGATGAGCACCAACCCCCAGAGTTGGACACAACTGAACTTAATGTCAGGGGAAAACCTTTACCTTTACCTATGGGGCCAGACTCAGTTCCTAACCTTTGGGCCTCCAGATGTTTTGGACTTCAGCTCACAAAAATCCCACCAAGTTTACCAGCTGTGAGGAACTGTGGGAGCAGATGTCCAAAACACCTGGAGGCCCAAATGTTGGGAACCACTGGGATACATAGACTTATGCAAAAGCAAGTGACTGCAGTTTCTTATAATTTGTATGTTCTTCCTAGTCATCAATGTTTACTAACTTAACCACAGTCTGATATCATTTGGCCATGTGTTTCTTATTTTTCATATGTGAAATCAGAAATCAAAGGGTATCAGACAATCAAAAGGCGTAGACGAGCAGCAGTCTATAGTTGCCATATTCCTATCTCTTATTGTTGCCAATTTTTTCTTTACAGATGAAAACCCTAAACCAGGTAAATCTATCTTTTATATTTATAAAACTCTTCTCTTTTCTTGGATATTTTGTATTTTTTCCACTGTACAAAATCAACTGAGGGCTTCCTCATCCTGTGAAATACAAAAACAGTTCCAAGCACAGAAATGGATAGTGTGTAAGACATCCCTTGGTAGATAAGGAGATACCACAATGTGTAGCAGCTTGGTGGCTTGTTATTTCATGTATTCCTTACCTTTCTCCCAGCATGGCAGGTGCATGGTTCATTGTGTGGCATGCATGGGAATTCTGGGACTTGACAAATGGCTGAACTTATTGTTGCTCGATATGGCATTCACTAACTGCATGACATAAATGTATATCATAGAGTTACCATATTCTGAGAAACAAAAAGAGGGGAATTTTAGGGTAAACTTCTTCTGAAAGTTATCATAGAGTTGTATTAGAAGACCTAGCAAATTCCTAGGTACCTGTCTATGATTTTCTAGGTTCTCCACTGCAAGTCTGTGATATGTTAGGGCCCTAAGTGAGAAAATGTAATGGTGTTTGAGTATAGCTGTGGTTACACGTAATTGTTAATGCTGTTATGTTTAATTCTGTTTTAATATTTGCATAATTGTATATTTTAAATCATGTGGTCATACTTTTTATTGTCTCCTTCGAGAAAGATAAAGTAGGGTATAAATAAAATTATGATGATGATGATGATGATGATGATGATGATGATGATGATGATGATGATGATGATACCAATAAGGTACTGTTCCATTATCTGGGCAGAGGCCACAAGGGAGCATTTGGGAGTGAAGGATAGTTCATTAGGGGGTGGAGGGTGAGTTGAAGTAGTAAAACCATTTCTCCCTGTTTTCCTGTTACTCCCCCCCCCCCATCCATGTCCCTATTGTAAAATGGACTATTCCTCCCTCTCTCTAATGCCCTCTTGTGGCCTCCACCTGGATAATGGAACAGTACTACTACTACTACTACTACTACTACTAATAATAATAATAATAATAATAATAATAGCCTTTATTTATACCCTGCCCCTTCTCCACCAGGGGACTCAGGGCTGCTTTCAACACAATGAATACAATAAATAAAATACAAAATAATCACATATCAATTAATAAAAAACAAAATAACATAAATAAAATAAATAAAATACAAAATAATCACATATCAATTAATAAAAACCAAAATAACAGAATACTATAAGTATAAATAGATAAACAGTTTTTAAAAGACTAAAAACCTGTAATAATAACAACAGTAGAACATATTTCATGCAAACATCAGGATCTTATCATGCCAGACCCATTAACCAAGTATGTTTCCCATTCCTGCTCTAGAAAATCCATGCCCTGGAGGCTTTTAATAATTTGACTGGAAGAAGAAAAATCTTACCATATCATCCTCAGAAAAGGAAAAACATTCCTTATTCTGTTGAATGCAGCATTCACAGAGAAGAGAAGTTCTACCCAGTTTTTTTCTATGTGAGAGGAAATTGAAATTGCAGATTACATGACAGTTTTGTTTTTTAAAAGAACTGTTATAGTCTGGATAATATAAATGGTAAAATCAGGATCATATCATGAGAATAATGCAATAATTTACACTTGTGCCCATATCAATTGCAATTAATTTTGTTATGTAAAAAGCTTCTAAAATCTGAGCATCCTATCAATTCCCGTAGTTGCACTAGTTCTTTTATAGCTCTCCAGCTGGTTTCTATCAATATTAAACAATCACTTTAGTTTCATGGTACTTGGCTGTTATTATTTTCTAACAATGCTGCTGAACCTAATTTTGTTGAGGGAAGGAATTATTTCATAAACAAGTATTACAGATGTTAACCATCACTTTTTTACATTTTCTTCCAGCTGGAACTGTAGGAGATTGTGAGTATTTCACATATTTTAAAGCAATTGCTTTTAAATTCAATATTAGTTTAACACAAAGGGTGTCTAAGATCATATGAGTAAAGTATTTTGCATGAAACTCTTTCAATGTAAGCGACATCCTAGTTCGGTTAAAATGTGTCTCTAATTATTAGACTCCTGCAAAGTTATTTTCATTTTTAAGAAAAATCATGGTAATTTATTTTAATAATTTCACTCCCTTCAAGGGCTGGGAAATTATATCTTGCTATTGATGAGTGGATGAGCTATAACATTTTAAACCAACCTGCAACCCAAATGTTTTAGTTACATTGCTTGTAACTAAACCCAACCCAAATATTTATTTGTCTTCACTTTCCAAGAAGACCTTGAAATATACATTATTGGACTAGGGCTCTCCGTATCTTCAGCTAGCATAGACACTTGTTCAAATGATATGTTTTCCAAATTCCGGGAAAGAGAAATATCAAGCTGTTACTGAACACCAAATTGTGGTTATAGTTTGGGAGAGCCAAATCTGTTTATTCTCAGCTTCACTTAGAATATAGTCTAGCAGTTTGCAGTCACAAAAAAATCTGGAAAAAAGCATTCAAAACAATTTCCAAAAAACTGTGTACCATAAAGATTTGAACATACACTAGAGAACCTAAATCTAATTGTCTCAACTAGAGTAGACCCATTAAATTGACTGATAAATTGTAAGCCAAACATTATATGAATTTCATTAACTCAGTGGGTCTGCTATGTTTGAGACTAAAAGTTAAATTCAATGCTGCAATACAAACTTGACTTCGATATTTAAACTGCTTCAACTACTCAACTCAATGCATTTTCTCTGATGCACATTATAAAGTTGTGTTTTAAGCTCAAATTTTAAAATCATGCACATTTAACTAACTCTTGAAATGAGACCAAATTGTTCTGAGTAATTTTTGAAAATCTGAAAATTCCAATTCAGGCTGTCATCAAAGCACCAAGTCTCAGATATGACAGAACAAAGATCTGTTCGTACTTATAGGCACTGGAGAAGAATCTTCTTGGTGACTCAGGCTTGTACTACCAAGGGCTAGACAAACATGTCATCCCCTTTTGTGACCGTATCTCTTTCCATGAACCAACCCAGGCCCTGCGATCTTTGGGTGAGGCCTTCCTTTTGCCCCTACCAGTTTCACAAACTCGTCTTGTGGGAACAAGGGAGAGAGTTTTCTCCTCTGTGGCTCCCTGACTCTGGAACTCATTACCTGGAGAGATCAGGAAAGCCCCTACTCTAGAAACCTTTTAAAAGAACCTTAAAACCTTGCTCTTCTGCTGCACCTTTGGTGAGTAGGTGCACAGTATGACACTACTGCTCCCCTCAATGCTTCTGTCACTGGAGTACACAAACCCCCAATGGGAAAGTTTGGTTCCACAACCCTGTGTTTTTTATGAGCTCCCTCCTGTAAATAATTTGCTCCTTTTCTTATCTCATTCGAGTTTTTAACATGTTATCCTGCACATGTGGCCCGCCCACTGTCACTGTGATTGTGTTTATTGTAATGTTATATTGTTATTGTATTCATGTGTTTTTTATGTAATTATGATGCTGTTGCTCGTTGCTTATGTTTTTGGTTTTATTTTGCTGTAATATGTTGTCTGGGCTTGGCCTCATGTAAACCGCCCTGAGTCCCCGTTGGGGAGATGGTGGCGGGGTATAAATAAAGTTTATTATTTTGCATAGAGGTATCAATACCCCCTTGTCTAATGGTTTCTCTTAAGTATCCCAATACCAGGTTAGTTGGCATTTTAGCATACTCCTGTCCTCATACCCTAAACTGGTTTTTTATGAGTTGTAATCACAATATAGATATTTGCAAGGCTATTTAAAAATGTTCTAACCCCCCCCCCCCCAAAGACATATCTTTACAGCTGGAGAATGGCCACAATTGGTGTGCTGGTCGTGTGGAAGTCACTTACTTTGCAAGCTGGCGGACTGTGGTTTGCAGTGAAGGATGGGACCTAAAAGATGCTGAAGTTGTCTGCAAACAACTTGGTTGTGGCTACGCTCTGGCTGCCTTGACAGATGGCTTTTTTGGAGAAGGAACAGGTGGCCCTTTGATGACCAAAGTAGATTGCTCTGGTAGAGAAGATTTTTTGCTAGATTGTTTTTATGAGGAGCGGCCTGCTACATGTGGAAACTACAAGCATGCTGGTGTTATCTGCTCAGGTAGCCATTGCTCTCCTACTGTTAGATATATACTCACTGGCATTTTATAGAAATTTCTTCCCATTCCTCACATGCACACATTGATCCCTCCTCTGCCTTAATTAAGATTGTGTCATTTAGAAGAATGCATTTATATTTGGGATGGGAACATGTGTTCTTCCAAATGGTGATGCAAAATCAAAGCAGTGGTGGGAGGGAAATAAGGATATGGGAGCAAGGGGGAAAAGATCTGGGTAGCAAGGAAGGTGGGGGAAAAGTCTTTTGGGGTGAGGTAGGTGGAAGGGGAAGGAGCAGGAAAGAGGAGGGAAAGCTTAGAGGGGGAGGAGGGGTAGAGAGGAGGAAATCACAGAGTCCCTCAGTATGCTTCGCAGGGACCCAAGGGCTCCCCAGAGCACACTTTGAGAACCTCTGCTGTGGAGCATCAGGAAAAGATCTATTTCACTACCTGTTGTCTGATTCTTTGAAAAGTGGAAATTGAACTTTTTACAGATAAACCATTGGTTTTGCCACTGAACCATATGCATAGTAATGCTTGATCTCTCTTTGCACTATCTCAAGTATTTGAGCCTCTTTCTATTTCCATTCACAGATTCTGGGATGACAGTACCTAACCAGCAATGTAAGCTAAAATTTATGCTTTACCACATTTGAGGAGCAGCATCAGAATTGAGTCTTTGTTCTGTTGTAGTTGTCTGCTCTATATACTCTTTCCTTGTACACTACAACTGTTGTACATCAATCCTGCAAGCTAGGTTGCTGACTCTTTTGTGTGATCAAACTTATGGTGGCAGTAACTATTACAAGGAGAAAGAGTATTAGAAAACATTTTTAATAAAGATGATGTACTTATATTTTGCAAACAATATGTGGCCAAACAAACTGAAAGGCATATTTCTACAGGGTCCATAAAAATTCAAACATACAATCCATTAAAAACAAAACAAGAAGATACCTAACAAAATGTCTGGGATCATGGTCTCTAGATAGCTCTTCCCAAGAATACTTCATGAGGTCCGCTTTTTGCTAAATTGAGATTCAAAGGACTTAAAACAATTTAAAAAACATTGTTAAAAATCAAAAATTTGCAAAAGTTACAACACAATTTAAAAATCCATAAAATCAAAATCGAGTTAAAATATACTCACACAAGTATAATTGACAATATCCAGTGCATTGTATAAATACTCCTTATATAGTTGCATATCAAATTCCAGTGGTCCACAAAAGAAAGGAAATCTAATTTCTCTGAGGAAAAAGTTATAGAGCCAGAGGGGCAGCCACCAAGGTGGTGATTTCCTGTGTTCCCACATGATGTACCTAGCATATCTTAAAGCACAGGCTGATTCATAAGCAAGTATACATCCCTTCAAACAACCTGGCCCTGACATGTATGATTTTTAGCACATTTTTAAAATGGATTGGCAGCCAGCAGAGCTGTTGCAACAAGGGAGCTTTGTGTTTCCTGTAGCCAGTCCCAGTTAGAAATCTGGCTGTAGCTCCTTGGGCCAGTTGAATTTCCAAACACACTTTAAACCCCACATAGAGCATGTTACAGAAATCCAGCTAGGATGTACGCATATGTCACTATTTCTAGATCTGACTTCTCAAGGAACAACTGCAGATGGTATACATGCTTTAACTGCTAACCTGCTACAAACTCACATATTCAAAGGGAATATACCCACTTTCAACACAAACTGAATCCCTGTTTCCTGATCTGCCTTTCAAGTGACCAGGAGGACCTCAGTCTTGTCTAGATTGAGATTCAATTTGTTTACCCTCTTCCAGTCAAATACTAATGACAGACAATGGTTTAGGATCAGGACAGCTTCCTTGTGATGGAAAGAAGTAATAAAAGTTGGGTATCATCTGCATACTGGTAGCACAACACTAAAAAACCCTGGACGTTTCTCAGCAGGTTAATGAATAGGCAGTGGACCTGATCCCTGAGAATCCACACCTACCAGAGAGACAACATTTTGCAATAACTAGAGAACAGGGTTCAAATCCCTACTCAGCCAATGAAGCCACCAAGTGACCTTGAGCAAGTCAAGAGTATGCCATGATTGATTTGCTTTAGGGTTGTCATGTTTCAAAATTACATGAACACACACACACAACAACAACAACAACAACAACAACAACCCAATGTGGCACAGGAATGACTGGCATCTTGTATCACAGTTACATCTGCTGATCCAGGAACAGGTGGAAGATGTTTCCAGCTGCCTTCCACCAGCAAGGGAGATTACAATAACCAGAAGCAGGCCATTGTTCCTTTCAGTCTCACTTACCATGAGAAGAGGCTGGAAACCTCATCCTCTTGAGTCTAGATCTTCTTGTATTCAGCCATACTCCAATTTTTGCCCAAATTCATACATTTGGAAGAATGTATATATGCATATTTGAGAAAGGACCAATTTGGTTCTGCATGAAAGAGCTTCCTTTAGTGGACTGCATCCGATAGAGACATTAAGGCAGTTTTGAATTTGCTAGAAAGGGTTAACACCAACATTTACTGTATATTGTTATTTGTTTAAAAATAATATTTTAGATTTTTGTTAAAAATCATATATGTTTTTGTGTTTACTGTGCACCCTGAGTGAGTTGATCTTTGTTTAAAATGTGCTTGGCTGATTCTGAACTTAATAATAACCCCCCTGTTTTATTTTTATTTTTCACATCACTATGGCACCAGCATCATCAACAACACCAGGTAGGTCTTACTAACACTTTGGACATATTCAGAACGTGTTCTCTGATCTGCCTTTTGTCTGACCAAGAAGACCTCAATGAAGTTGGGTGTCATCTGCATACCAATGGGCACTGAACCACTAAACTCTGGATGTCGCCGAGCAATTTCATGCATATGTTAAATAGCCAGGGATGAGGTGAAGGACAGAAACAAACCCTGGGGTTCCCACAGGCCAACAGAGAAGCAGTATGGGGTAGTGGTTTGAGTATTGGAGTGGCTCTCTGGAGAACTAGGTTTGAATCTCCATTCAACCAGGAAATCCACGGGGTGCACTTGAGCAAATCAAGAAAGCCACATGATAAGTTCCCCTGATGGTCACCATAAGTTGGAAATTATTTGAAGGCATGACATGGGCAGGAATTCTGTATTGTAGTTAGAACTGCTGATCAAGGAGCAGGAGGAGGATGTTTCCAGCTGTCTTCCACCTCCAAGGAAGGTTGCAAAAAAAAAAAAAACCAGAATCATGACCCCTGCTGCAATTCCTCCTTGCAACCTCATGTGCCATGAGAAGAGAATGGGAAATTTCATCTCTTGAGTCCAGATCTTCTCGTATTCAACCATGCTCCATATTCATGACTGTGGCACTATCACTGGTTGAGTGGGATTCAGACCTTGTTCTTCAGAGAGTTAGTGCAATGTTCAAACTTAACACCAAAATGGTAAAAGGCCCCCAACTTTCCCAGGAGGTATATCAAATAATGCATCTGGGTTTCCCTGGCAATTGTGGTGCACCAAGATGACTGTTCCATCCTCCTCCTACTAGTGACCTATGACACAAAAGGAAACTAGAAAAGCTATCCTGCTTTTTGACCATGGCAAGCAAGACAGATTTCTATCATTCAGCATTCTTAATATAGATTGTGGGAGTCAGGCTAGGAGATGCAACTACATCAATATTACTTTTAACCAAATTGATATGTTTATATGCATATTTGAGAAAAGACCAGATTGATTCTGTATGGAAGAGCCTCCTTGACGGAGTGTATCTGATAGAGAGATTAACGCACTTTGGAGTTTTACTAGAAAGGGCTAATATCAAGAGTATGCAATATTTATCTTGTTATTTGTTTTAAAATTGATACTTACGATTTTTTTTTAAAAAACCAACTTAATTGTTTGTGTTTACTGTTGTTTATTATTCACCTTGAGTGAGACGATCTCGGTTTTAAATGTGCTTGGCTGATTCAGAACTTAATAATAACTTCCCTGTTTTGTTTTTATTTATCATACCACTATGGCACCAGTCTCATCAACATCATCAAGTAAGTCTTATTAATATTCTGGGCATATGGTGAAACCCTGTTCTCTGATCTGCCTTTTGTCTGACCAGAAGAACCTCCATGAAATTCAGTGTCATCCACATACTGATGGCACTAAACCACTGAACACTGGATGTCTCCCAGCAGTTTCATGCATATGTTAAATAGTCGGGGATAGGGTGGGGAACAGGACTGTATTGCAGTCGTGATTGTGCAACATTTATTTTGTTATAAGTTTTAAAATTTATATTTAAGATTTTTTTTAAAAAATCATATGTGTGTTTGTGATTGTTGTTATTATCCACCCTGAGTGAGGTGATCTTTGTTTAAAATGTGTGTTGCATCCCAGATCAGGAAACGAGGCCATAAGATTAAATCCACCACACTGGACTGTGAGAAAAACAATCCTTTTTTATTGATGAAAAATGGTTACAAAAGAAATGTAAATGCAAAGTCAAAAAACCACAGTAGAAACTCGGCAGTCAGGAAAAAATCTTTGAACTTGAGCAAAATTCCAAAAACAACAATACAAAAACCAGGAACTTGTTAGCATCACTAACTGTACTTGAAAACTAGAAGCCTCTGGGAATGCAGGCCATGGAACACAGGAAAACTGCCAAGGTGCTGCCTAGGTCTAAAACGCTGCTTGATCTAACGAGACAACCAGGGGAAGGCCCCTTAAACTAAAGAAACTATTTCTTGAAACGCCCCCAGACTTTGAAGAAGCTTGAGCCTCCCTCTCCCGTAATCTATTTGACCTTCATAGAAACTGTGATTCACTCCTGTTTTTCCAAATCTGTTCCCTTCGGTCCTCATTAAAAAACCCAGGTGTGATTCCCTCTGGAGAACTATCACGGCTTGATTCTAAAACATCCTCATCAGGCTGTTTAGTTTCACTTTCCCTGCCACTGACCTCAACATCAACAGTTTCAACACTATCAAGGAAAGATACATGTTCAGTGGTTTGCTCAGTTGCATCAGGAAATACAATCAGAGAATCAGGTTCACACAGAGATTGAGGTTCACACGGAGGCTGAACCCCAACAATGTGTGTGGCAGATTTTGAATTTAATAACCTCCCTGTTTTTATTTAATTTATCATTATACTATGGCATCAGCATCATCAACGACATCAGGTAAGTCATACTAACATTTTGGACAAATGCTGAATATCTGTCCCCTGATCTGTCTTTTAACTGACCAGGAGGATCTCCATGAAGTTGGGTGTCATACCAATGATGGTGAACCTCAAAGCTTTGGCTGTCTCTATATGTTAAATGGTGGAGGGGGCAGACCCAATTCTTGAGGGCCCTCACAGGCCAACAGAGAGTCAGCATGGTGTAGTGGTTTGAGCATTGAACTACCTCTCTTGAAAATAAGGTCTGAATCCCCACGCAGCCAGTGAAAACCACTGGTTGACCTTGAGCAAATCAAGAAAGCCACACAAAAAGTTCAACTGAGGGTTGCCGTAAATTGTAAATGACTTCAAGGCATAAAACAAAATGGCTGACATTGTGTATTGCAGTTAAAGCTACAGATCAAGGAGCAGTGGGAGAATGTTTCTACCTTCCTCCCACTAGCCAAGTAAGCTGTAACCATCAGAAGCAGGACTCCTGTTGCAATTCTTCCTTTCAGCCTTACATGGCACGAGAAAAGGCTGGAAACTTTAGCCAGGATTTTGTTTCGGGGGGAGCTGAGTTTGATTTGGAGGGGGGGCTGAGTCTGAATGAAAGAGGGTCTACCCTAGCAAACCTTTTGTATCGTTACCCCAATACCCCATGCATATGGGATATATTGAGCATGGTGATCAGACCATGATATGAATAACATAACTGTTTAAATAATGTACCAGTAAGGCCTTCTCGTGGACCACCCTGAGAATTTCGGGGGGGGGGGGGGATGAAGCCCCCTAAGCACCCCCCCCCCCGGCTACATGCCTGCCTCTTTATCTTCTCGTATTCAGCCATGCTCCATATTCATGGTTGTGGAACTATTGCTGGCTGAGTGGTGATTCAAACCTTGTTCTTCAGAGAATTAGTGCTCCAACAAAGCACCAATACTCATAAAAGGCCCCCAACCTTCCCAGCAGGTACATCAAATAATGCAGCTAGGTTTCCCTGGCAATCATAGTGCAGCAAGGTGATCTTTCCAGCCCCCTCCCACTGGTTACCTATAGTGCAAGAGGAGACTAGAAATGCCATCCTGCTTTTCCCCCATGGTGAGCAAAATGGTCTTCCACCACTCATCATTCTTCATATAGACTAGGTGATATAAGTACATCAGTATTACATTTATTTATTTATGTACGGCATTTGTAGCCCACCTTTCTCAGCCTTATGGCAACTCAAGGCAGCTTACGGAAATTGGCAGAATTTGATGCCATGCATTCATAAGGTACAGTTAAAAACATTCAACCTAATATTATAAAAACCATATAAACCATTAAAACCATTAAAAACATATTATCACCAGTGTCGTGCTGTTAAAATCATTATCCAGCAGCATCGTCTAGTCATTCCGTGTTCATTCTTCCTATTTCATAATTGTTTATTCGGCTTCATTTCCAAATGCTTGTTCAAAAAGCCAAGTTTTACTCTTTTTCTGAAGGTCAGGAGGGAGGGGTCTGATCTAATATCCCTAGGGAGGGAGTTCCACAGCTGAGGGTCCACCACTGAGAAGGCCCTGTCTCTCGTCCCCGCCAGACGCATTTGCGAGAAAGATGTGATCGAATGCAGGGCCTCCCCAGATGATCTTAAATTCCTAGATGGTTCATAAGGAGACCAAATCAGTTTGTTTTGAAAGTCGTAAATATACATATTTGGGAAAGGACCAGATTGCTTTTCTATGGAAGTGCCTCCTTTGATAGAATGTCTCTGATAGAGGCATTTATGCAGTTTGGAATTTAATAGAAAGGGCTAGTATCAAGACTGTGCAACACTTATCTTGTTATCAGTTTAAATATAGATATTTATTTTTTAAATGTGCGTTTGTATTTAATATTGTTTATTATTTACATAGAATGATATGGTCTTTTTTAATAATGTGCTTGGCTAATTCTGAACTTAACCTCCCTATTTTGTTTTTATTTATCATTCTACTGTGGCACCAGCATCTTCAACAACATCAGGTAAGTCATACTAACATTCTGGGCAAATGCTGAATCCCCATTCCATGATCTGCCTTATGTCTGACCAGGAGAATCTATGTGAAGTTGGGTGTCATACTAATGGCACTGAACATCAAAACTTTGGATGTCTCCCAGTGGTTTCAAGTATATGTTAAATGCTGGAGGGGACAGAATCAATCCTTGAGGGACCCCACAGGCCAACTGAGAGTGAGCATGATGTTGTGGTTTGATCATTGAACTACCTCTCTTGAATCCCCACTCAGCCAGTGACAACCACTGGGTGGTCTTGGGCAAATCTGATTCCAGATATCTTCTTACCCCAGATTATCTGGCAGAGTAGACTGAAATAATCTAGTTCAAAGCAGATAATCTGGGATCAGATCCTAGGAAATAATTTGGTGTAGATCCAGCCTAAATGCAGGTGGAAGTGTGGGGGTAAAACTAGAAGACAGTAGTTACACATACTTTACTAATTTCCTCAACTTGAGACTGACCTTTTGATGAAGTATTCACTAATCTAATAGAGGGCCCTTCCACACAGCTCTCTATTCCAGAATATCAAAGCAGAGTCCACACTCTGCCTTGATATTCTGCCTTGATATTCTGGGATATAGGGCTGTGTGAAAGGGCCCTGAGTTAGAGATTTAGCTCCCTCTTGAGGAACTACTTTAAAAATTACAGTTGCAAATTGAGAAAGATTCCAAATGCTTCACTTTTTAATGCAGATGCATTTTAATTCTTTTGGAATATGAGATGAAAGATGAAACCGAATATCATGTTTTGTGTTTGAACTGATTAAAAGCAAAGCAAAATAATTAAACCAATTATTTAAATCTGTAAGAAGAAATGCCAATTTAAATCCATTTTCCCATGCATATTTTTTGTGTATTATTCAAACAATGTTGCAAAACGAACCCAACAATCCCATAGCCTCTTGCTTTGAAATTAGCCTTTGGGTGTTTATGGGACATACCTCTGAACACAGATGTCTTGGATCATATTATAAATTGTCATCCTGAGTTAGAAGATCTTTGTATGATATGTGTTTGGATAATCCTGAACTCAATATTAACTTCCTTGTTTTGTTTTTAATAACCATTCCACTGTGGCACCAGCATCATCAACCACAGTGACACCTACAACACCAGGTAAGTCTTCCTATCATACTGGGCATATGCTGATAACTAGATAAAAGTAAATCCCATTTAATTCAATGGAACCTACTTTAGTCAGCATGGTGCAGTTAACTGCTTGAAGTAGTCATCAAGGAAAGTTTGCTTTTTAAAGACTTTGCAACTTCCATAACCCACTTTTGATCTTAGCCAATGTGATCCATTCACTTTGCTCTTTCACAGGACTGTCCCTGAGGCTAGCTGACACCTACAACTACTGTGAGGGACGTGTGGAAGTTTATTATCAAGGCGCCTGGGGGACTGTTTGTGGCAACAACTGGGATATCAAGAACGCGCAGGTTGTCTGCAGGCAACTTGGCTGTGGAGATGCTATTCAAGTCGTATCTTGGCCTCGATTTGGTCAGGGCTCAGGCCGAATCCTCTTAGATGGTGTCCAGTGTGAGGGGGATGAAGCCTTCCTGTGGGACTGCAAGAACCGTGGATGGGGAGTCCATAGTTGCACTCATCAACAGGATGCTACTATTCTCTGCCAAGGTACAAACACATTATTTGAAGAACTGTCTTTATCTTGAAATGCATCTCATCTGTGGATAAAGCCAAGTGATCACTGACCAAATGGAGACTTCACTGGTGACCCATAACTTCTGTCTCATTGGGCAGTGAATCTCTTCTAACTCTTGGTATAAACTTTAATTGAGCTTTTAAAGTTTATGAACTACTCCTTTGAATGGGTTTATGAATAGCTTCTTTAAATGTCTGACTAAGGCTCCTTCCACACAGCTGAATAAAATCCCACATTATCTGCTTTGAACTGAAATATATGGCAGTGTATATTTCTCAGATAAGTCAGTTCAAAGCAGATATTGTGGGATCTTTTGCCTTGATATTCTGGGTTATATGTCTGTGTGGAAGGGCCCTATAATGGATTCACTGCCCATTGATAAAGAGTTTACCTTACCTGCAATTGAGCAACTTTCTGCAAAGCCCTGACAAAGCTGCTTTCTTGATAATAATTCCCATAAGCTCTCAGGTAATATGAGCACTGACAATGTGGAATGGGCACTAGGACATCAGGAGTTGCATGATTCAATTTGAGAAGATATTTAGTTCTTTCTCTTCTTCACACAACCACATAATCACACCTCCTCCCTTGATATGTGTGCTATTTTTTTCCTGTGTTTTGACAGGTCAAAGGTAATCCAGCCACTACCTTAGGTAGTTTGTTCAAACATCTGTATCACCTTGGCAAGAGCTTGTATCAATTCTTGTGTTATTCTGCAATCTTTGCCTATGCTGACACAGTTTGTTTTTTGTTCAGGGTGAATCATGTAATTACAGGAAGGCCAGAAAGGAAAAACAAAAAAAGCAAAAAAGATCATATAACTGAATGACATGTTTTCACTTACACATGGGCCGGCTCTTAGCATTATGGTAGTTGAACTATGAATTGACCCAGTAGCTCATTCCCATGCCATTTTGATACTTATTTGAGATTCTTATGGAAAGTTTCTACAGTAAGTTTGCCAATTCCCAGGGAAGAAGAGCAGAGTTCCTGTGAAAACTCCTCCCATGGTCTGACTTATTCGGTGACTACAATGGTTCAAACTATTGTGAGGAGGGGAAATTTATATATGTTACCTGTTATGGAGTAACATTTCCATCATGTTGTCATGGAAAAATCTTTTGCAGCATAAGTCTTGAGTGAAGAATTATCAAAGTTGTGCGTCTGACTTCAGATGCATTGGGAATTGCTTGGCACAAGTACAATTTTACATTTGTTTTACCAAAGGTTCTTTTTGGATTCAAAGGAAATGAGCACACAAGTGGCTAAGAGTACAAGATTTTATTAAGAAGCGGGCAAAAGCATCAAAAAGAGAAGTACACACCTAAGAAATGTCCTTTCCTCAATCAGTTGGTGGAAATCCCTTGAAGTGTCCAATTTTCAACACCTTACCTGTATCAGCCTGTAGTGAGGTTCAGCTTTACGCTGAATTGTCAGAGTTTGTATAGCCATCTCAGGGCCCATCCAGACAGCCCCTTTAATGCGGGAGTTCCTACAATTAAAAGGGGGCTGTCCAGATGACATCCTTGAGAAACACAAATTAATTCACCACAAACCAGGAAAACCCTGGTTTGTGGCGAATTAATTTGTTAGTGGGTTCTGCTATGTCAGCAGTTCTCAACCTGTGGGTCCCCAGATGTTTTGGCCTTCAACTCCCAGAAATCCTAACAGCTGGTAAACTGGATGGGATTTCTGGGAGTTGTAGTCCAAAATACCTGGGGACCCACAGGTTGGGAACCACTGCGCTATGTGGACTACTCCCTCAAAAGTTCTGGGCTTTTGAGGGGGTAGTCCAGACAGTAGTCCCATGATTTTCTGGGCTATATTAGCCCAGACAACCATGAAAACACAACCCCTCCCCAAAAGCCCCCTTTTTTAAAAAAAGAACTTATCCAGCCTCCATTCGTGTGATACCAAAGCTCTCCTGTCATGTAGGAAATTATGCATCAGAAGAAGGGGGGAATCATTCTTGCCCCCCACCCCCTTTCTTCTGGAGAGCTCTGGCATCACACGAATAGAGGCCGGGTAAGTTTTTTTATTTTTTAAAGGGCTATTGAGGACTTTTGGGGAGGGGGTTAGAATRTCTGGCTGTTCTCCCACAAAGTTCTGGGAGAACATCTGGACACCCACCACAGAAAGCATGCACTTTCTAGAGTTTGTGTGGCTAGGAACCCGGGATCATTCACGTTTTTTAAACGTTCCCGGGAAATGTTCCCGGGATAAATGGCTGTCTGGAAGCACTCTCAATTAATTAACCACTTTGTTTTAATCAGGTGTCTTATCACCTAGGTGTACAAAAAGTAAACATTTTGTACTATCAAAATAATTAACTCAAAATATGATAGATAAGCCAAGTGAATCCCATAGTAGCCAAGTAGCCAAGTGAGTGGACAGGGGCCAAACCTACTAATACCTTTCTCATTAGTTCAGACTTTGAAACAAAATTCCTCGAAGTAATATTTACAGAAGATTTAACCCTAAAGGTTTTTTGGAGAAGGGACAAAACAATTGTGACACTCCAACTGATCTCTTCAATATTCTAGGGTTTTCCCCACAGCAGTCTTCCTAAAATGCTAGTTGCATTGACTAGGCATGTTCAGAGCACACAGAACAATTACCATTTGGTAAAGTTGGCTAATTTTGTAGTGACTGTCCTGACTCATAATCTGTCATCTAACTTTCTCAGCTCTTTAAAAACACCCAGTTTGTCTCTCTTCCTCTGCTTTCAACCTTAGTTACATCAATTGCTACAAATTCAGTTCAAAGTACAATAGTAATTTACACTCAGTGAACTCAGTGAGGTTGAGTGGAATTTTACTACACCCACAGTAGACTCAAGCAAAAATGAGTTGCTTCAACCTTTTAGTTTGTATATTCTTCCTAATGAACAAGCTTTGTCATGTTAACTATAGTTTGATATCAATCAGCATATGTATCTCAAAAACTAGAGTGCATCAGAAAAACAAAAATATATAGTAGTCCATCATAGTTGCCATATTCTTACCTTTTGCTATTGTTCTCTTTCTTGACAGATGAAATCTATAAACCATGTAAGTCTAAATTTTATTTATGAATCTGTTCTCTCTTCTTGTATACAATTATCTCTTTACTAGTGTACAAAAAGCTGAAGTTTTTCTCATCCTCTGATATACAAGAAAAATCTCCAAACCCAGAAAGGGACACTGTAAGACATCTCTTGATGGATATGAAAGGAGATGCCAGAATGTGTATGAGCTTGCTTAGTCTTTATATACTCTGGGAAGCAAAAAAAAAAAAAGGGGGGGGGGGCAGCCTATGATATATATCCCCTGAAGTTACCATAGAGTTGCATTGGAGGATCTAGCATATTCGTAGAGATCCTCTTAGCCCTATATCCCACACAACCTTATATCCCAGAATATCAAGGCAGAAAACCCCACATTATCTGTTTGAACTGGAATATGTGGCAGTGTGGACTCAAGATAACCCAATTCAAAGCAGATATTGTGGGATTTTCTGCCTTGATGTTCTGAGATATAGGGCTGTGTGGAAGGCCCCTGAGTCCTCCCATGCAACTCAGTTATGCTAGGACTATAAGCAAGAAAATGTAATGACATTTTGATTTTATCAATGGTTCGTACAAACTGTCTGCAGGTCTTAGTTTTGGGTACATAGAGAGTTGCGAATATCCCCCTCCAGATCTGGCAGAGAATACGCCAGGCTCTTTTACCAAAGGAATGTTTCCGATTTCTGCTCTAGAAGAATCCATGTCTTGAAAGCTTTTACATTTGATGAGATAAAGAATTCTTTCATATAAACATGGATTACAGATATTAACCATCACTCTTTTACATTTTCTTCCAGCTGGAACTATAGGAGATGGTGAGTTTCTGACGTGTTTTAAGGCAACTGCTTTTAACTACAGTATTGACATTAGTGTAATTCAACATGAAGTAAACATCTAGAACCATCTGAGTAAAGTGTTGTATATGACATTCTTTCAATGTAATGAATTGTATTGGTTGGCTAAATTGTGCCACTAATGAATAGTAGTGAGTGAGAGCTCTGCAAACTTTTCCTGGTGTTTTAATATAATGTTATTCACATTAATAATTTCACGCTGTGCCAGGGCATAGAAACCCATGACGCACTACAGGTATTTTTGGCCTGGAGCTCCCATCTTCCTGAGCCAAGGTATCCAATGGTGGTGAGAGCTAGAGTCTACCAATGTCAGCAGAGTTGGGTTTTGTTGCTGCTCTATGCCAGTGGTTCTCAACCTGTGGGTCCCCAGGTGTTTTTGCCTACAACTCCCAGAAATCCCAGCCAGTTTACCAGCTGTTGGGATTTCTGGGAGTTGAAGGCCAAAACATCTGGGGACCCATGGGTTGAGGACCACTGCTCTATGCTATGAAGTACAGGACAGATAAGCAACAGCGTTTCTAAGAAATCTTCAAACTATATGTTTTAGTCAAGTTGCCTGCAAAGCAGAGATTACATTCTCTTCATTTTCTAAGTAGAAGAACATGGAAAAAAGTTTTTTTTTTATTAGGATTCCCAATATTTCCAGCCAGAGTGGGCACTGGTCCAAAATAACTTTTCAAAACTCTGGTCAGGATCAAGCAGTTACTGCACATTAAATTCTACTCATAGCTAACAAGAGCCAAAGATGTTTATTTTCAGCTCTGCCTAGAAACCAGCCTAGTAAATTGCAGTGACTAGAGTTCCAGAGAGAAGCATTCAAAATAGTCTCCATATAATTGTGCACTGTAAAGATGGGAATGAAGTACAGAGGACCTAAATCCAAATGTCCCAACCAGAGTAGATATATTAAATTAACTGATGAATAGGATGTCAACCATTATCTGAATCGCACTAATTGAGTGGTTCTACTCCATTTATGACTAACAATTGATTTCAGCACTATAATTATAATCTTTTTTCTTGATATCTTCTTTAAACTACTTCAACTGTTCACATTAATGTATTTTTCTGGATGCACATTACAAAGTTGTGTTCCAGACTTCAGATTTTTAAAATGTGCACATTTATCTAACTGTTGCAATGGGATCAAATCAAGCTCCAGCTATGACAATATGAAGAACTTTTCATCCTCATAGGCACTGGAGGGTCCTCGGGGTGATTTAACCTTCCAGAACAAAAACACTAGTGCAACAATTGCAGTTACAATGCCCTAACAGCCTTGTCACACTAGAACGTGGATCCATTTTAAGTCTGTTCTTTTTTCTCCTGAAAAATTCTGTGGTTTGTAGTTTAGTGAGGCTCAGGACTGTCTGGCTGAGCAATTTCAAGTCCCCTCCCTAAAACTACAAGGCCCAAAATTCTGCATGAGGCAGAAACTGGATTTAAAATGGACCCATGCTTTAATCTGATAAGACTCCTACTCTAACTCAAGATATTGTAACTGACGTGTCAGATGCCAGACATTGTTTGCAAACTATGTTTTTTTAAAAGTATTTTAATGGCAATATAGATATGTGCAATAATATTTTTAACCTTTTTAACACCAACACCCCCCCCCCCCAAGTCTTGTTTTTTCAGCTAGAGAATGGTCCCAATTCGTGTGCTGGTCGTGTTGAAGTCACTTACTTTGCAAGCTGGCGGACTGTGATTTGCAGTGAAGGATGGGACATAAGGGATGCCGAGGTCATGTGCAACCAGTATCTTGGTTGTGGCCATGCTCTGGCTGCCGTGACTAATGGTTTTTTTGGAGAAGGAACAGGTGGCCCTTTGATGTCAAAAGTAGATTGCTCTGGTGACGAATATGATTTGTTTTCTTGTTCTTATGAGTATCGACCTGCTACATGTGGAAACTACAAGCACGCTGGTGTTATATGCTCAGGTACCCATTGTTCTCTTTTCCATTATGAATATCCTAATTATCCTAATTAGAATTTTTGTGGGAATTATTCCTTTATTTATTTCTATTCTGCTTTTGTCCCTACAAAGGGACTTAAAGTGGCTTACATCTTATAAAATCCGACAGCTAAAATACAACATAAATCCCCATGCAACAATTAACAAATTACAACAGTTAAACATTAAAACAACATTAAAAAGTCCCATTCCCCATAACAAAAGACATAAAACTGACATAAAAACATATTAAACATACAATTTAAAAGCCATATAATATGCTATTCCTTTAGGCCATAAGAAACTAATCAAATCAATTACTGGAGGTCCGCTATAATAGCTCAAGTATTGCACACCACTATATCTGTCCATCTGCTAATCTTCTTCAGGGAAGACCTGCTTTCAAAGGAAGGTTTTAACCAGCTTCCAAAATGACAGTTGGGGGGGGGGGGGGGGGGGGGGGGTTGAACCAAACTTGGCACACAGAACTCCCATGACCAACAGAAAATACCGGAAAGGTTTGGTGGGCATTGACCTTGAGTTTTGGAGTTGTAGTTCACCTGCATCTAGAGAAAACTGTGGACTCAAACAATGATGGATCTGGACCAAGCTTAACATGAATACTCAATATGTCCAAATATGAACAATGGTGGAGTTTGGGGGAAATAGACCTTGACATTTGGGATTTATTGGGATTGCTGGGATTTATAGTTCACCTAAAATCAAAGAGCATTCTGAACCCCACCAATGATAGAATTGGGCCAAACTTTCCACACAGAACCCTCATGACCAACAGAAAATACTGTGGTTTCTGATATGGTCTTTGGTGACCCCTCTGATACTTCCCCAGGGGTCCCAACCCCCCAGATTGAGAAACGCTGACATAGAGGTCAGCTAAGATTTGTGGGAACTTCAGCCCAGAAACATTGGGATTCCACATAACTTCCCAGTCATGTTTCTGTGGCTGATTCTAGCCATCTTATGTGAAACCTAAAATGGTATATAGCAAAATATGATACAAATTTGTAGTCACTTAAGCAAGTTCAGATTCCTTTATAAATAAATAGCAGGTAGAACAATTTGTGGAATGGTCAAATTTAAGGCCTTTTAAAATGTACAAACAATATATTGCGACACTGTGGCAAATAGGGATGAAACTATGTTGTGCAAATGGTTCAGAAGCAGAATCCATGACTTATGCGTAGAAAGTGGAATTTCCACTCCCCAAAGTCTGCAGTTCAAAGGATCAGACAGCAGGTATCAGAACAGACTTTTGCCTGATGCTCCACATGATTCTTCCCATACATAATAATGGATTAATGGTCTAACCTGGTAGAAGGCGAGCTAATGGTCCAAACTTACCCTATTACAGAGCTCAGCCCTGCTATAAAATAAATGGAAGCATATCTGTTAAGAAGTGCAGGCTTGTGTTCCCACTTCCTCCCATGAGTTATCTCTGTTGCAACAGGCAGAAACAACAACCCAGTCAGAATTCCCCATCACACTGGGGTTCAATCTTATGGGAGATGGATGAAAATGAAATAAAGCCCCTTCCTGAGAAATACAAATCCCTGCTGAACATATCATCTGCTTCCTGGTAAGTGCAGACTGGGGGACATTCACGGTCCCCACAAACCTTCTAAACACATTTGTAATTGATACAGGATTCCAGATTATTATTATGTATGGGAAGAATTCTGAGGAACATCAGGCAAAGATCTATTATGCTACCGACAGTCTGATCCTTTGAACTGCTGACACTGGGAAGAGGAAATTCCACTTTCTACACATAAGCCATTGGCTCTGCTTCTTAACCATTTGCACAACATAGCTTCATCCCTATTTGCTAAGGTGCCGCAATGAGCTGCAGTGGCGCAATGGGTTAAACCTGAAGGTTGGCAGTTCGAATCTGCGAGACAGGGTGAGCTCCAGTCTGCCAGACCCAGCTTCCCATGCGGGGACATGAGAGAAACCTCCCACAGGATGGTAACACATTTGGGTGTCCCCTGGGCAACATCCTTGCAGATGGCCAATTCTTTCACATTAGTCGTGACTTGCAGTAAATTCCAAAGCTGTTTCTAATATGATAAAAAAAAACTCTATTTGCAAGGAATTCCTCCCATGTCCTTTTATCAAAGATAGCTGAGAAATTATATGAAGTTTTTAAGCATCTTTCTATTTTCATCCACAGATTCTGGAATGACAATACCTACATGTAAGCAAAATATACTTTGTCATAGTTTGGGGAAACTTCAGAATGGGATATTGTATTGTTGGTGTTGTCTGTTGTAAACTCTCCTTTCTTGTATGATGTAACCATTTCACATCTCTTGTAAAAACCAGGTTGCTGACTACTTCTCATGATAAAATACATGGTGGCAGTAACCACTAGAAGAGAAAAGAATATTAGAAGATTTTTAAAAAATAGAGATAATTTACTTACATATTTTGCCAATAAAACGTGACAAAGTAAACTTAAAGGCACACTTGAAATGCAAAGATGCAGAATGGGGGATGCCTGGCTTGATAGCAGTATATGTGAAAAAGATCTTGGAGTTCTCATGGACAACAAGTTAAACATGAGCCAACAATGTGATGCTGCAGCTTAAAAAGCCAATGGGACTTTGGCCTGCATAAATAGGAGTATAGTGTCTAGATCCAGGGAAGTCATGCTCCCCTCTATTCTGCTTTGTCAGACCACCCGTGGAATACTGTGTCCAATTCTGGACACCGCAATTGAAGGGAGATGTTGACAAGCTGGAATCTGTCTGGAGGGTGGGGGGCGACTAAAATTAACAAGGGTCTGAAGAAGAAATAATATGAGGAGCTGCTTAAAGAGCTGGACATGCTTAGATTGCAAAAGAGAAGGCTGAGAGGAGACATGATAGCCATGTATAAATATGTGAGGTCTCTTCCAACTCGATTCTATGATTCTATGACTTCTCCAGGGTCAAACTCTATTAAAACTATATATTTCTATATACACACACACCCATCCCAAAAACAAAAAAGACTTCTCAAGGCAGTGTCTGCTACCATGTTCATTACAGGAATACTTTGTGAGGTTGGCTCAGGTTGTATGCTTAAGATCTTTCTGTCTCTATCTTGCAACACAACAGTTTTTTAAACTTAAAGTCTTCAGTGATCATGAAAGAAGAAAGAGATTAGAAGAGGTTTAATCTTGAGGTATTCACTCCAGAAAAATCACATTTAGTGGGCGCAATGAGTATAGAAGTGGAAAAGCTATTTCACTGATTACGACTTCCAGAATCCCAGTTCTGGGCAGGAGTTATGCTGTTAGGAAGTTTTAGAAAGCTACCATGCTTTCTAAGCTCAGGATAACATTAAGACTTTTTAATCATTAGATGTAATCAGATGTGTTTTGTTTTGTTTGTTTTTTTTCGTTTACTGTGCAGCATGGTAAATTCAATCAACTTACTGTATTTGGAGGCTCTCCAAGTCATTCTGGGGCTCTGGAGGGTTATTCATTATTTATTCTTTGTATTCAGTGTGATTGGATAATTCTGAACTTAATAGTAACCTCCCTGTTTGTTTTTAATTACCATTCTACTGTGACTCCAGCATCATCAACCAAGGTGACACCTACAACAACAGGTAAGTCTTATTTAACATTCTTGGCACATGCTGGGAACTGAACTGCATGCTTCTGTATTAGTCTGAATAACATTAAGTTCCATTAAATTCAATGAGGCTAACCTAATGCATTTAGGTGAAGCCATTTGTGTGTTGGACTATGACTCTTGAGAAAAATGTTTGAATCCTTGCTCGATCATGGAATCTTACTAGGTAACTATGAATGAATCACACTCTCTTGGCTTCATAGGAAGACAAAGACAAACTCTTTCAATAAAACTATTGCTGAAAAACTCCTATAATTATTTTGTCTTGGGGTCAGTATAAGTTGGAAAAGTTTTGAAAGTATACAACAGCACAACAACCCATTGTAGGAAAGTATAAGACGACGGCATCATTCCATCATAACATACAAAATTTTAAAATTTCAACAAATTTTAAATTTTCTTCAGAGTTTTTTTTCATTGTTTTCCTCAAGCAGAGAGAAGAATAAGATGAAAACACATGGCTACATATCCCTTCTCCTGTATCACTTTTAATATATTTGCCTGATAAGTGCAATAATTGTCAAGATCCAGAGCATTGTGAAAGCAGGTCTTAAGTAGTCACACATCAATGACATGTTGGAATAGAAAAGTCTTTAATTATCTTTTTTAAAAAAAAGAAAAGAAAAAAGAAAGAAAGAAAAAGCAAGTAGGGATGGTGCTGATCTAACATCTCTGGGAAGCCTGAAGGTCCCACGATCCCACATAATGTATCGGTGAGGTAGATGAGACAGAGAGAAGAGCTTCCCCAACAGATATCAAAACACATAATGGTTTGCAAGGGAGAATACAGCCCTTCATATAATCTAGACATAACTCATACAGTTCTTTAAAGAAGTTGAAAATTCTGGACACACCAAGGTCAGCCCCCTACATACAACATGTTACTGTAATCCAATTGCGATACTCTGTAATCATGTAGCTGAACTTAATAATAACCTCCCTGTTTGTTTTTATTTATCATTCCGCTGTGGCACCAGTATCATCAACCACAGTGACACCTACAACATCAGGTAAGTCTTCTCCTGTATCACTTTTAATATATATGCCTGATAAAGACAATAATTGAAAATATTCATGTTGTAATCTGCCCCGAGCCACAAGGAGAGGCAAGTAAGAAATAAAATTGTCGTTGTTGTTTATTTTATTTATTTATTAATTACATACATTTCTATCCCGCCCTTCTCCCCACAAGGGGACTCAGGGCGGCCTTACATTGTTGTTGTGTCAGTAGGCCTTAAGTCATCGTAGGCTATCACTCATGGCCAAGTATGATTGTTTTCCAAGTCTTGGCAGGGGGTCTGTAAGTGACTTTAGGGACCTATTCTGGCTCCACATGTTATTTCATAGTGAAAACCTCGATTTCCAGGTGGAAGACGGTCTTGACAAGAGTTGGCTTGACGCACCTTCCTCTTGACATGTTTCTCCATTTTGCTCCCCATTGCTCCCCATTCATGCCTCTTCAAATTCCACAGCACTGTTGGTAACAGCTGACCTCCAGTCAGAATGCTTGAGGGGCAGGGCTTCCCAGTTCTTGGTGTCCACAGTTTTTAAGGTTAGCTTTAAAGCCATCTTTAAATCTCTTTTGCTGTCCACCAAATTCCATTATTCATTCTTGAGCTGAGAGTAAAGTAGCTGCTTTGGGAGATGGTAATCAGCCACTTGGACAATGTGGCCATTCTAGTGAAGTTGAGAGTGGAGAATCAGATTTTCAATGGTGGTGATCTTTGCTTCTTCCAGAATGCTGACATTTGTCCACCTGCTTTTGTCCTTTAGAAGTTTGATTCCATCTGATGAATGTAGAGGGTGTCTAGCTGACAGTAATTTTTCATAAGCATCTATTGTTGGTGCATAGGCACTGATGATGGTGTCTGGTGCATTTTGGCAAGATCAATTTGGAGGGTTGAAAGTTGTTTGTTAATGTTGATGGGTGCTTCAGACAGATGATTCACCAGATCATTTCCGGTAGCAAAGTCAACTCCATGAATTCTTCATTCATGTTCAGGCAGTCCCTTCCAGAAGAAGATCTAGCCTCCTTTTTCTTCTTTCAGCTGTCCCTCTCTGGTCTTGAAGCACAGCTACATCGATATTAAAGTGCCTTAGCTCTTTTACAGTCATAGCTAATCCATGTGCCACTGTGCCCAGATCTGACTTCTCAAGAAATGGGCACAAAAGACACATAAGCTTTAACTGTGAAAAAGCACTCCTAGCCATCACTTGAACCGTCATTCCAGGTTCAGAGTTTAACCTGGGGTACACCTAATCTTTGATCCTGCATCTTCAAAGGGAGTGCCACCCCATCCAGCACAAGATGAATCCCTCGTCCCTTATCTGGCTTTTGACTGACCAGGACAACTTGTCTGGATTGAATTTCAATATATTTGCCCTCATTCAGTAGATTACAGGTGACAGGTACCTGTTCAGAAGCTAAACAGCTTACATGGCTTGCTGTGGAAAGAAGCAATAAAGTTCAGTATCATCTACATAAATATGGCACTGAACTCCAAAATTCTGGAATCTCCCAGTGGTTTCATGTATATGTTAAATGGGGACTGGAGCAGGAGGGGAATCCCTTAGGGATACCACAGGCCAACAAATAGCCAGCATGGTGTAGTGGTTTGAACAGTGCACTACTCTCTGGAAGACAAAGTATATGAATCCCCACTCAGCAGTGAAACACACCAGGTGACATTGGGCAAATCAAGAAAGTCATATGATAAGTTTGTCATAGGGTTGTCATAAGTTAGAAAGTACTTGAGGGTACAAAACACAATAGTGGGTGTCCCATAGTGCAGCTTCCACTGCTGATCAAACAGCAGAAGGTGGTTCCAGCTGCCTCATATCAGCAAGGGAAGTTGTAACCATCATAAGCAGGGCCCCTGCAATAATTATTGCTTGCAACCACACTTGCTGGTGGGAAGGGACTCGAAACTTCATCTCTCTGAGTCTGGATCGGTAGCTGAATACATCTCCATAGTATAGCTGCTAGTTGTTAAGTTGTTTAATAACTGTTCACGTGGCTATCATTTTACAGCGTCGAAGTTGTGTGCACGTCCTACTCGTGTCTGCAGACATGAGGTTCGTGAAAGCATAACTAGGTAGAGGTGGGTATGTCATGGAAGAGGGAGGAAGATGGAAAATCTCATCTATATAGACAGATAGTGACGCGCAGGAGCGATCAAATAGAGTTGCTGGTGTAACAGTGAAATCATGGTGATGGTTATGGGTGATACAAGTGTAGTTGATTCGTATACGTATTGGTTTGGCACGTAAGGCTATATCCCAGGTGTGGAGGTTGTGGGATCGTGTGTAATGTGTAGTCTGTAATTTAACTTTCATGCGCTATAGGCGCCGCTGCATTTACTTATGTAGAACCGATACACTATTGTGCCATACTAAAGGTGTGACGGGGGGTACAAGAACGAAGGGCCTGGACAAACCTTGAGATGAAACAAACCAATTGTCTGCCACAACCGGAAAAACACGGGGTGGGGGCCAATGTGGGGTGAGGGGGGGAGCTTAGGAAGGGCAAGGGATAGAAAACTCAATTACAGGGGTATGATGCTACAGGACGATATATTGTTAGCCACTCGGTAATCACATAGGTGGGAGTAATCACCCCCTAATCAAAGTCAGTTCAAAAATGACAATATTATATTAAGAAACGTACTTACCGCGGCGCCGAATGCTGGATGAGCTTGAGCGCACACCTGGTGTGTGATATGTAGAAACAACAGGAAAAGGGGTGGGGGAGAAATTGATACCACCACAGTCCCCTTAGTGGCATGGTTAACACGATAATCCACTGATTGTGGTAATGTGAAAATAACTAAATTAACTCAATGTATATATTACAAATACACATATCAAAAAAACAGGACTGTCACATTCACATTAAGTAGAAACAACTGGTTCTTCTCTTGAAGTATAAAACAAAGTCTTCGTGTGAATAAATGTCCTGTTCTTTATTACATATGAGTAGACTCCGGTAGTCACATGAATTGACTCTGGAGAGGGGGTTACAGTGTCTCGGTGTTCTTCTGGGACTTTTCAGAAGAACATCTGGACACCCACCCCGGAAAGCACACGCTTTCTGGGATGTGTGTAGATAGGCCCCCAGGAACATTTGCGTTTTTAAAATGCAGATGTTCCTGGGATAACAACCTGTCTGGAAAGGTTCTCAGTATTCATTCTGAGTTAGGGGATATTTGGATTAAATGCAATTAGATAATTCTGAACTTAATAATAACCTCCCTGTTTCTTTTTCATTGTCATTCCACAATGACAGCATCATCAACCACAGTGATACCTACAACACCAGGTAAGTCTTATTAATATTCTGAGCACATGCTGGGAACTAAACTGTATGCTTCTCTATTGGTCTGGATAAAAGTAGCAATCCATTAAATTCAAATGGGGCCAGCCTGGGCCAGTTTGGTGTAGCCATTTGAATGTAGAACTATGATTCTTGATATAAATGTTTGAATCCTTGCTCGATCATGAAATTCTAAAGGGTGACCTTGAACAAGTCACATTCTCTTGGCCTCATAGGAAGACAAAGGCAAACTCACTCAGCAAAAATCTTGCTGAAAATACCCTATGACTGTTTTGTTTTGGGGGTTGGCATAAACATTTCAAGGTGTGCAACAGCACAATAAGCCAATTTTAAGAGAGCATAAGATTACAGCATAATTCTGTCATAACATAAAAAATTCCAGAGTGGTTTTTTTCACTTGTTTGCTTGCGCAGAGAGAAGAATAAGATAAAAACACATGACTACGTATCTCTTTTCCTGTATCACTGTTAATATATTTGCCTGATAAGGAGGCCAGTGAAACTTGATGTATTTTCTGCCTTTTGGTCAAGAAAGGCATCCCTCTTTTGTGGAGAAAATAATTAGATTTTTTTTTACTGTTCTCTCTTACTCTTCATTGAGACCTGTCCAGGAAACACAGGAAAGTTTCATGGTTGTGACTCTGCATGAAACAATTCTTCCTGGGTCAGACACAACTTTTTAATGAAGATTCTTAGAAAAGGAGGAGGATAAAAGATACCCAAAGCCAAAAGTGATTAATCATAACAGGAAACTCAACTGGCATATGCACAAAAAGATTGTGTAGAGGATCAAGGAGAGGAAGAGAAGAGCTTGGAAGAATTCCTTCTATGTGTCATTACTTCCACAATCTTCAAGCCAGGATGGTCATGCAAGTTGGGAAGCTCGCAATGGTGCATTTCTAAAAGGAACGTTTCTGAGTTCACAGAGGAGGCTAAATTATATCTAAATTAAACATATCACACCTAAATTAAACATATTACACCAATGTACACAACTTAAGTAGGTGTCAACTTTAACTAGCTGAACAGCACTTGAAAGAGACTCCTTAGCCCTCCCCCCTCCAGCCACCTTATTAATTCCGAATTACACACAACCCACTTTCCACAATTTATGGTTTTTTGGATGTTGTTAAACTGCTACTCTCCTCATGGTTCCCCATTATTTGTGCAGGTAGGGGCTGGCCAGAGTCTGGGTTTTGGCCTTCTCTGACTTAAACCTTGACTTGCCAAAGTAAGTGCCAATGAAAGTTTGGACTTCATCTTCTGTGACTAAAGGGAACATAGAATCCCATTCTTAAGATTAATCAACTAAATGCGTCATTAATGCATCCACTTCTGGTCTTTCACAGGACTGTCCCTGAGGCTAGCTGACACCTACAACTACTGTGAGGGACGTGTGGAAGTTTATTATCAAGGCGCCTGGGGGACTGTTTGTGGCAACAACTGGGACATCAAAAATGCACAGGTTGTCTGCAGGCAGCTTGGCTGTGGAGATGCTGTCCAAGTCGTGCCTTGGCCTCGGTTTGGTCAGGGCTCAGGCCAAATTCTCCTAGATGGTGTCCAGTGTGAGGGAGACGAAGCCTTCCTTTGGGACTGCAAGAACCGTGGATGGGGGGTCCATAGCTGCACTCATCAACAGGATGCTACTATTCTCTGCCAAGGTATTAATTGATTCTTTGAAGCACTGTCTTTATCTTGAAATGCTTCTCATCTGTGGACAGAGCCAGGTGATCACTAACCAAGTGGAGACTTCACTGGTGACTCATGACTTCCATCTCATTGGGCAGTGCATCTAGCTCTTGGTATAAACTTCAGTTGAGCTTTTTAAGATGCTGAAATGGTCAAATCCTGGCAAAGCTGCTTTCTGGACAATTCCCATAATTCCTCAGATGACATAGGATAGGAACTAGTATATGAGGAGCCACAGTCTGAAAAGTATCTTTTGAAAGTATAGGCATTAGTTTGATGAGATATATTGTTCTTCTTTCTCTTCATCACACAACCACAACCCTTCCTTGAGATGTGTGGTAACATTTTCCTGCCAATTTGGCACAAGGGCATAGTTGATCCAGCTACTGCCTTTGTCAGTTTGATCAACCATCTGTATCACTTTAGTAAGAAATTCATAATTCATACACATGTATGATTGCAACTAGTATCCATCCTTGTATTACAGGAAGGCCAGAAAGGAAAACAGAAAAAATCATTCAAGCTAAAAATCATAGCTGGTCAACATATTTTCGGTTACACATGGACCAGCTCTTAGCATTATGGTAGTTGACCTGTGCCTTGACCCAATAGCTCATTCCCATGCCATTTTGGTACTTATTTGAATAGCTACAAATATGTAGGAAAAGAGATTCACGTGGAAAGTTTCTAAAATTTGTCTGTCAATCCAAAGGAAGAAGTGCAGAGTTCCTGTGAGAACCCCTCCAATGATCTTTGTGGTTGCAATGGGTCAACTTTTGAGGGAAAAGACAACACTTCTTTACCTGTCATTGAAGAACATTTTGTTCATTTGGTCATAGAAGTTGTTTTGTAGCATAATCCTTGAATGAAGAATTTGTTAAATATTATCAAATCTGAATTTTTATATCTGACTCCAGAAATCCATTCTGGTTTTTTGGGAATGGCTTTGCACAAGTACAATTTTGCATTTTTCCTAAAATACCAGTCATATTGACTCCAAATATTCAGGATGCAAAGAACAATTACAACTTGTTGATAGCCATTGAAGATAAAAAAAGCTAAGATTTCAACAATCCCCAAGTTACAAACAAGATAGGTTCAGTAGGTTTATTCTTATATTGAATTTGTTTGTAAATCTGAAGAGATACATTTTTAAAGTGTAACTCCAGATGCAGATTATATGTGTGTGTGTGTGTGTTTGAAAAGCATAAGGAAGGGTCAATACCCTCGTTGTGTTTGTTTTGCTGACTGTGCCCCTCTTCAGAATATTTCACCTCATTTTCTGTATCTGTGATAATTCAATTTTGAAAAATGTGGCTTGTTGTGGAAACAAGGCTTGGAGGGCCCTTTCAAACAGGCCCTATGTCCCAGGATCTGATCCCGGGTTTTCCATTTATCCCAGATTATCTGATAGTATGGACTTATATAATCCAATTTAAAGCAGAACACCTGGGATCAGATTCTGGGATGGAGGGCCTTTCTGGAAGGGCCTGGAGATAAAGCTTCAGTGGAGACACCTTTTCCCCGTGATAATTCTTCTAGGAGTGAATTTCCCTTCCTAGGGGTCAATTTCTCTCACTTCCTCTTTTCTTAACTGTGAATTGTTTGTAAGTCAGATACTTGTAACTCGGGGACTACCTATATTGTATGTAAAGGCTCGTTCGAGGAGAAAGAAAAACTAAAACTAGATCCAGTAACAAAAGGAATTTTTATCTGACTTATTATTCCTTCCTTTGATCTAAAACCTCCTATAGACCAACCTGCAATAGATCCATTAGAACAATTGAATTTATAAAAGTATTCATTCAGCAATTCAGCACTCAACAACTGATTCAATGGGTGTACTCTAGTTTGAATTATCAGTAGCGAATTCACACCTTGGATCTAGTTTGATTTTTTTTAAATAAATCAGACAATTAAAAGAACATAGTCAAAATTTTGCTCTGAAACTAAGGCACATATTCTCCAACTACCCCAATTTTATAAAGGTCATCTCACTTTTTCAGCTTTTTTTTAAATTCCAAGGTCTCTTTCCACCACTTCTCCCCACCCCCACCCCCACCCCTTTACCCTGAGGAACTTCAGTAGTTTGTACTCAATTTTTAAAGGAACTGAAAACATGGATGTTTTGTTGTGCATTTGATTGGCGATTCTTGATATATGGCTCCTAACCATGATCTGAACTCAAGTTCCTATATTTGATTACTATGCTTTTAAGTTAAGCTGAAATGATCCTTCTATACCACTCCATTCCTATGCTAGTATTCGTTCTAGCCACCTTATTGACCAGCCTATCCTTTAACTCGTTTTGCATATTGGTCCCCTCCCCATCAAAATGAGACTGGAAGTATCTATGTTGTTGCTTATGATGCTTGTTTTATTGTTTATTGTTATTATGTTGTTTTAATATTCTACTGTCTTGTTTTTAATTGTATGTTGCCTTGGGCATGGCCCCATGTAAGCTGCCCTGAGTCCCTTTGGGGAGATGGAGACGGGGTAGAAAAATAAAGTTCTCCTTCTCCTTCGCCTTCACCTCCTCCTCCTTCTCAATGAATTCAGTGGGGGGGGGAGGGAGGAGGTGGTACTAATTTTGTCACATCTCAGTTGACTTGGGCAGGAGCAAGCAGCTGTGGGCTCTTCTTGGTTGGATTTCCTTACTCATTCACAACTTGGACCACCTTAACCACAGTCTATCGGTTGACCATATGTGTTCTCATCTGTGAAATGTTAAGAGCATATGAGATTGTTATCAGAAATGCAAGCAACACACACTCCTCTAAAAGGTTTAGTAGTCCATCACAACTAGCATATTCTCACCTTTTATTTTGTTTTTCTTTCTAAACAGAGGAAATCACTAAACCAAGTAAGTCTTCCTATTCTATCTATGAATCTGTTCTCTAATGTGGTGTAAAATGCACCCCACAGACTTTATGCAACACTCCTGGAGCCCAAGTGCAGCTTGCCATATCTTTGCTCCCTGCATCCCTTTTACTGCCCCATGCCCTCTTGGATTCATGATGGCCATTGGCATTCGGGAAAACTAAAAGTGGGTTTATTTGGGATGTGGAGGGCATGGAGAGACATGAATGTCTCCAGGTTTGGCAGAGGAGATCAGGCTCCAGTCCTGCTCTAGAAGAAACTATGGCTTGAAAGCTTTTAATAATGTTATTCAAAGAAGAAAAATCTGTCCAAGTGTTTTTATAGAAAAGGAAAATATTTTTCCCCCACTCATCTCAGCATTTGCAAGAAGGAGAAATTCTATCCAGTTTTTCTATAGGAGAAGTAACTGCTATTGCAAATGATATGTCAGGTTTTGTTGCTTTTTTAAAAAAGCTGTTATGATTTGGATTGTATAGGGATTGTAATCAGGATCATTTCAGGACAGCTCTGCAATGACTTTACACTTCTGTCCAAATCTATTTCAATTAATTTTGTTATGCAAAAAGCTAGTCTACAAAGCCAGCTTCTAAACTCTGAACAACCTACCAATTTCGGAATTTGCATTGGCTTTTCCTCATGTGGCTCCCCAGCTGCTTTCTATCACTATTAGACAGTCACATTAGTTTTATATAACTTGGATGTCGATATTTTTCTAACAATGTTTATATAAACATGGATTACAGATGTTAACCATCATCTTTTTGCACTTTCTTCCAGTTGGAACCGTAGGGGATGGTGAGTCTTTCACATGTTTTAAAGCATTTCCTTTTGGAATAATAAATTGACCTCAGTTTAATTTAGCACAAATACTTCTAGGCAAACTTAATACAGGTTTTTGTTGCATAAAGCAATATAAATATAATGAACCTTAATATGGGCTACCAATGACTCATGAGAGGCCTTTTAACAAAAAATAAATCTTGTTAATAATTTCACTGTTCACCAGTGCAGAGAAGTTTGTGGCCCTTCACAGATATTGTTGGGCTGGAGCACCCAACATCTCGAGCTAATGTATCCAATTGTGTTGTGAGCTAACAATGTCAGCAGAGTTGTATTTCCTATTTCTGCTCTATGCTGCGGAGTACAGAATAAATGAGCAATAACATTTCAAACAGATCTGAAAACCAGATGTTTTAGTTACGTTGCCTAGATGCAGATTTTGTTATCTTCCTCTTTCCCTTTGGAAATGATCATTTTTGGTCTACGACTCCTAGTGCCTCTAACTAGTATGGGCACTTGTCCAAAAATTAACTTTTCAAAACTCTAGTCAAGTTAATAATCAAACCAATGCTGAATATTAAATTTCTGGGTAGTTGTGAGTATTGACAGTCTCCCAATAATAACAGCAAACACCATTTGGGTAATAAAAAGGCCACCACTTTATTTGGTTACAGCTTATCAGGGTTGGCATCCAAACGGGTCAAGAATTCCTCCTACTGATGACCCATTTTGCCATTGGGATAATAGTTCTGGTCTTGAGATAGCTGTTGAGATGCACCAGCTTCAGCCTGTCTTGGGTTTACCACCTTTTGATGCATTACCCTGTGTGGCCTTCCACATCTGTTGGCCAGGTTTTCCCCCTTGGGAACCTGTATCAATTTCCAGTGCCAGATATCACTGATGAATAACTGGATTTGCTCCCAGATCTGGCAGACCCACACAGGAGGCAGGCAGGCAGGCAGGAATGGGCCCCACCTGACCCTAGAGGAGCCATCCTGGAACACCCAGCTGCCACCCCACAGACCTTCCCCCAGGCCAGAGGAATCCAAACCAGCCCTAGAGTGGGATCCCAACCAATGGTGCTCATTGGGTGCAAAGCTCCTTTTACCTGGTCCTCTGAAGTTCCCCTTGGACTGACTGCCTCCTTTGTGTGAGCCAGCTAGATGCTCTTGGGAGGCATTTTGACCAATAATATCAACTGAAGCCTCCATGTTATGTGTTCCTTAGCTGCTTCCCCACTTTTACCAGGAACAAAGGTACCTCTTGACACTGGCTCTGTCTTTCTACTAATAGTTAGCAAGAGCCAAAGATA